CCCCGTCCCCGTCCTCGGCCCCCCCCCCCCCCCCTGCCCCCGCTCGACCAAGGGACGAGGAGTGTCGGGAGAAGGGCAATGTACCCCCCAAGCCAATGGCACTTGGCGGGCGACGCTTCTCCAGCCATCCTCGCCCCCGCCGGGGGAGAGAGAGAGGGAGAGAGCATCCCTCCGCGCCTCTGTGTGGCAGACCCCAGCCCACCGAAAAGCAGCATGTACACATGCAGGCAGACACACACACACACACACACACGCGCGCGCTCACACGCACACGCGCATGCAAATAGCTTCCCCGCATTCAGGAATGCATCGGTCCCCGGGCTCCTCCGGTGATCCGCATCAGCCCGGGCAAGTCAGGTGCTTCCGGCGCCGCTTCCGCCAAGAAGGAATGTCAGATCACATGCTGACCAGGCCTAAAGGGTCTATCAGCCGGGCTGGCTGGAGCTGGTCACACGAGGCATCGACGGGGCCGAAACGCGACCTGCACTCCTCTTGTCAAGTATGATATGTCCAAATGGACGCGCAGCTTACCGGGAAACCACTCATCTGCATTGGTTGCCAGTCCACCGGCGGGGCCACGAGTGCACACGCTTCTTTGAGAGGTGGGCCCCCTCTCCCCTTTGGCCAAGACAAAATGGTCACCGATCCCCCGCCAATACTCCTCCGCCCTGGCAAGCGCGCCATGGGACCACGGGGCCACCCTGGCTCTTGGCCCGTGGCAACGGCCCGCGCAGATGGGCCCCAGCTTGTCGCGTTACCCAGGCGGGCGGTGGTCCCCTGCGGCAAATGCCGAGGCTTGGGCATGTTGCGGGGGGGGGGGGGGGGGTGCGCACAGACAACACACGGGCCAGCCGAGTTGCACCCCCACCAGGCTGGCCGGCTCGGTTCTCCGGCACTCCGGGCACTCCGGGCACCCGCCCGCCCGCCCGCCCGCGGGTCGTACTCGCGAAAAGGGAACTTGCCCGGATGCGGCGGGCTACGAGAGGGAGAATGTTCCCAGGCCCTCCTCGCGGCGGCGGCGGCCCCCCCCCCCCCTCGGCGCCTCCGTTCTCCCTCGGGGACCATTCTGGATAACCGCCCCGGGGTTGCGAATCGCATTAGCGTCTATTGGCGGCTGCCGGGGGGAGGTTAATGCCTGGCGCTCGGCCTTCGCTCGCCGTTGGACCTTGTGCCGGTCGATCGGCCGACAAGATCGGCAGGGCGCGGTCGATCCCCCTGGGGGCAACAGGGGGTCTCTTCGGGGCCGGGCAGACCGGCTGACCCGAGGTCGGCCGTTGGACGCGGCCGTTTCCAGTCCCTCGCCGGCTTCCACTTGGTCGAGGGGGGCGCCTCCCCAGGGCCATCGCCCGGCCAGTTATTACGGGGCTCACACGAGGCCCAAGAAGCCAGAGGGGGTATGCCGCCCGGCCTCGCTCAACCGGAGGGGGGGGGGGGGAGGGGGAGGGGGGTCCGGCCGGGGCCTTCACCGGCACATGCCTGCCTGGGGCGCCGGCCAAAGCGTCGAGCCGTCCAGCCCGCCTTTGTCGGTCGGCGTGCAGGCTGTGCGTGCGTACCCAGGCCCCTTTTGAGGGCACGCTGGTTGGTGGGTCCTTCGTGCAGCGCGGGGCCTTTGTGTGTGCATTCGGAGGGCCAGAGTGTGAACCACAGGAGCCTCTCCGCAGGGCAGCCCCCCCCCCCCCCCCCCCCCCCGGGAGCCGACCTTCTCCTTGTTCGCCCGCCGGCTACGCGGCCGCCCCCGCGCAATGGCCACCCCGTCCCCGCGTACTGCAGACCGGGGGGGGGGGGGGGAGATAGCTTGGTAGAGCCCCCCCCGCTAGACAGGCCGGGATGGCTCGGTTCCCCCAGGCTTGCACCCCACAAGTATCCTCCCCCGGCTCACGGGCTCGGCCTCGAGGATCGGCCAGGCCGGGCCCGGGCGGTTCGAGGGGGGGAGGGACTCTTCAGTGGGGTTCTACAAGCCAGTTCTCCGGATTATTCGCCACCCGTCACTCCTGCATCCCCCTTACGCACGCACACACGCACACCCCCCTCCCCCCTCCCCCGACCATACACACGCACACGCACACGCACACACGAAGCAGAAGAAACGGAAAGAGACCCCGCCGCCCACTGTTTCCGAACCACAAGACAAACAGCCCGAGCGAGAGAGCGAGAGAGAGAGAGAGAGAGAGAAAGCAACAGCGAGGCGCGAGTGAGCGACACAAAGCCACATCCGAATGCACGGGCCACCAACTGAGTCACTGTCCGAGAACATTCCTCCTCACGGGCACGCCGCCAGCTCCCCACCGCCGTCGCTTCTGTCGCCGCTGAAGCCCCGGGTCCTGATGACCCAGTGCGTGCCCCCTTCGCCCCCTCTCCGTCGGTCCATCTGCCCGCTGTCGGTCGCGGCTTTCCCACGTCGCTTTCGATCACTGACCCGCATCTCCATACTTCCCCCCCCCCCC